AATAGTAGCTCCACCTCTTAGAGAGTTGCCAAAAATTTCAGTTCATAACAGATGAAAATTATTCAGAAATAACTATCAGAAAAAAATGTAAAAATAACTCCCTCTCAATTGTCAAATGATACGAGCTGTGACATATGATATATATTTTCTTAAAATTCAGTGATATCTTTGAGGTTATCCACCTCCTTATCTTGGATGAAGAATTTATATGTAACAAGCTTTCTGAACCAGTATACTGTATACTGCAACTTTCTATTTATGAGCTTCCTTATCCAAATAGATGGTATTTATGTAAGGCTCTAACTACATTAATTTATGGTATCGCATTAAAATACTAATTCCAACCCTGATGTTGTATAGTCACATATACAGGGTGACTTTGAAGTTGAGTCATTAATTTTCAGATAATGATTGTAGAAGGAAGATAAACCAAAATATGTGTGTAAAAATAAAAAAAAAATTACCTTGTTTTATAAAGTATCCTCCCGACAAGTATTTCAGTGCGGACCTGTATTTGATCGTGAGGTCTTGGAGCACCGGCATGCCGTCCCCTGTGAGGTCTTAAGTCACCTGATTCACGAGCCCGTTGTACTACATTAACAAAGGCACGAGGGGTTGGTTGCACTCGAGTGGGAAACCGATCCGCATAAACATGTGCCATTTTTTATTTCGTTTGAGCCACGCAACAGACACCACTATTCACTCACGCGTTACCGACTGACACTGACTGTATACAACTGAATAAAATAATTGTAAAAACATCGTTCCAAATTCTTTCGCTTGTTTGTTTCCGATGCGATGAACCGATAAGGCGGATTATATCCGTTGTTGCCAAACACGAGCACATAATATTATTATTGAGACAGGGCGGTACTCAAACTTCCAAAGGGCTATAACTTTGTTACTTTAATTTTACCAGAAAAATGGTAAAGGAAAAAAACATTTCTTTTGATCAGATCTACTCACTGTTAAAATAAATGACTCAACTTCGAAGTCACCCTGTATTTGAATAAAAATGGTAGAGTACGTCAAAAATAGAACGGAACCACAAAACCCTTGTATACCAATCTTCACTATTATGCATCAAATATTGTTCGAAATATTTAAAAAAAACTATTTTAGAAAGTAAATTTGAACACCCTGTATTTCGGAAGCCACGCATTTTTCGACCCATGTTTATATAGACTTTATGCATTAATTTTAAAAGTTCTATCGAATCTTAAAGTTATGCAACAATAAACTGAAACATCCTGTATACAAAAATGAGAGCATTTAATGAGATCTGTCGTGTAGAACAAGTGCTTAGGAAGAATATCACGGGCATGCGCATATGGAAGCGAAGTTTTCAAAATACGTATACAGTGTTCGTTCATCAATTACCGGAATATCTTTTTATAATAAATAGTTGCATTCAGATTTTGGCGAAACACTATACTATTGTATCCGCATTCGCCAATATTTCACAGAAAGTACTGTTACTTCCACACAGAGTATTTTTTAAAAAATGAGTAATAAGTGTGATATATTCAAAATCTCGAGCACAAAATAAAGTATACACTGAGGCCAACATTTCTGCATTTAGAACACTGAACATTTTTAATACAGGTTCAGGAGTACTACGTACTTCGCACCTGTTTTACACGTTAATACGATTTTCAGATCACATATAATTTTTCTGTGGATTGTGTTATGTATCATCGTTTTGCTAAACTATTCCACAAAAGCTTATAAAAGCTAACTTTAGTTTCATTACACCTTAAACATAACTTTGGTTCAATAACATCTATAAACAGTGGAATTTACTGCTAGAAATATTGGCAACTGTAAAGGAAACATCCATTACAGCTAACTACTTCACAGAATCTACATACCAGCATAAAATACTCGTATATAATACATGAATAATTTTCTTTATGTTGACTTCAAAACTTGTCACACTCGGTCAAAAATTCATATTATTTACTGTATCACAGCCAACTACTAGGAATACGAGGTCTGTAAATTAAGTGATGAGACTGGCAACGTAGCGTTCGATCTGGCAACACCGAAGGCACCGGACTTGGAGGGGAAACGGGAAATCTATGATCCGTCTTGAGTTCAAGTTTGAACTCGCTTGAGTCATTTGGTTGTCCGTTGTAAATTAAGTGATGAGACTGGCAACGTAGCATTCTATCTGGCAACACCGGAGGCACCAGACTTGGAGGGGAAACAGGGGAATCTGTGATCCGTCCTCAGTACAAGTTTGAACTCGCTTGAGTCATTTGGTTGTCCGAAGCGATTTTTTATTGTGAAACAGTTTCTTCATTGTGTTCTACAAATGAGTGACAACAGTATCAAGCAACGATGTGCTGTAAGGCTTTGCTTCAGAATTGGGCACGGTGCAACGGAAACTTTAGCTATACAGGCCTTCGAAGAGAGCGTTTTGTTAAGAGCCCAGGTTTTCCGGTGGTTTAAGGCATTTTAATAAGGGATAGAATCGACTGAAGATGAACGACGAAGTGGAAGGTTTTAATTTTCAAAACCCGATGAAAATATCGACAAAATCCCAGATCTCGTGCGTTCAGATAGTCGGCTGACAGTAAGAATAATCGATGAAAGGTAAAATTCAACTCACACCATCGTTCATCACATCACAAGAACAACTGGGTGTTGTATCATGATGATGCTCTTCGTCAGACAGTAAGTTCAAAAAACGAGTTTTTGCCCAGTAAAAACATCCCTGTGGCTTCTCAGCCTCCAGACTTGAGACTTGGGACTTTTTTCTCTTTCCGAAGTTGGAAAATCGGCTCAAGGGAACTCATTCTGAAACAGTCGAAAACATTCAAACGGCCGTAACCGACCATCTGAAGGCTATTCCAATTTCGGAGTTCCGGCACTGCTATGAGGAGTGGAAGAACCGTCTCCAGCACGGTGTGGCTTCAGAAGGAACTTATTCGGGTAGCCAGAACACAAAATTGTAATTATATTTTGATAAAAAAATAAAAAAAAAAATCAGTCTTCATTACTGTTATATTCACCATATTGAAATCATTTCCGAGATTCAACCACTTTTTTTTACTGTACTTTTACTTCCTGTGCCAATGGGCGAGGAAGTATTTTAATTGCAAAAAATTTCGAAAATGAGATACTTATTATGTTTTTTGGATGTTATATGACATGTCTGTCTGTTTGCTAATCCTTGGCCCGTCTATGACTTGAAAAGTATCGCTCGAATTTTGACGAAAAAAATCGCTCAAACTTTTTGACGTTTCAAAGGGTCCTGACTATTTTCAGAAAAAAATTGTCGGTGTTGAGATTCGAGAATTGAGGATTGTAGGGGGTGAAGGTGGGTATATGAACATTTTTTGATCATAGTATATTGCTTTTGAGCTTCACCGAACAATTGTTGACTATCACAGAGCACAGTCAATCATCTAATTCATTGTATGTGCAAGAACGAGTAGAAGATGCGTTAAGAATCTACTTGTACATGGTGAGTTAGTCGATCTGTCTATTTAGTTCATATGGCACTGTGACGCAAAATATAAAAATATATCAAGGTGAGTATTGTTTGTGGAGTTACCATTGAAAACTGCTGAGGTATACTTGGTGGCCCTCTTGATGTAGGTATGCACATTTGGTTTATAACGGTAGTGCTTTATCAAAAAAATCTTTCCCCCTTTACCTAAAATAAAAATAATACTACACAACTGTCATAAACGCATGACATGACATCACCCAAAGCAACGATACGTAAAATTAACACGTTTATAAACTAAATATTTTTTATGAATACATCACGGAAATAATTTAATTATGCATATCACCCAGGCCGATAAATTTTCCGGGCTAAAAAATATTATCTACAGCGCCTACAACTGGCCATTAATCTTTAATCAGTTCAATTACAGCAATTTATGATGTGCCAATAACACATGCGTCCATGAAATTTTTAAAAATAGGCAAAGTTAATGTTATTCTCTTTGAAGGGTTCAGAAACAAAGTTCTGAATTGCGTACATATAGAAATTTTGAATCCTGTGAGTATCCGTTAAGCTACACCAAAATATTTGGTCAATTCGTAAAATATTGAACATCGGATCAGAACTCGCAAATTTTGAGTACTAAAGAATGTTTAACGTCATCGTTAGGTACACCTGTAAGTCTCCGATTTCAACACTCATAAGTCCCTCAAGAAGATGAGATTTGGGAGTTTTCAAAATAGTTGGCCACTTCAAAAAATGTTTCGACCATATACACAAGTTATTAGAATCTTGGAAGCAAGGGCGGATTTAGAGCGGAGCGTGCGTCACTCCACGACCAAATATGGAAAAAACGGTATATATTTTATCGTCTTAGGCCCGGTTTTTCAATCGCAACTTTTTGGTTAGTTAACTATCGCCAGGACGTTAACTTGTAGTTACTTGCAAATGCGTTTTTCAAGTATTTTGACAGCGTCAGTTAACTTACCAGAAGTTCAACATATAATTTATGTTACAGCCCTGTATCTGCGGTTCTTAGATATCGTGTTCTATGCGTTTTGTGCGCTCGGCATCTGTGTCCCGTGTCATACATGACAGTTCGATTAAATTAAAATTTCTTAAAATAGCCAAAATCGAAATCCGGAAATTTCATTAAAAACGAATAAAACATAAAACCTTTGTCAAGCAAGGTAAGTTTTTTCAAACATTGCTCGTACAAATGTTTAGTAGTAGACCCTATAGACGGCATTATATAAATGGTGATAAAAAAGGTTGCAAATGCAATATCTAATGAACCATACTAAGGTCAAAAAACGATTAAGTTGTAAATATCTGCTGAGTATTGTATTTTCCACCTTTTTTAAAATCACTCCTATAATCTACACTCCAAAAGTAAAGGGGATACACAATACCTCTATTCTTGTTGCTAAAATTTCTCAAAAACTGTTTGCTAGCATGGAGAAAGAGATCAAAAAGAGAGCTCAAAATTTCTCGAAGAATGAGGAAATTATGCTAATATCATTGGTGAGCAAAAATAAAGATGTAATAGAGAGCAAAACAAGTGGCACAGTTACCTGGAAACAGAAAAGTTCAGTATTGCAGAGCATCGAACAAGAATTCCAAGTCCTAACAGGGTGCCACTGAGAGGCAAAAACTCTACAAGATAAATATTTCAATTTAAAGAAAAAAACAAAAAGCAAATTTGCTACAAACAAAAGCAATTTAATCAAGACAGGGGGAGGTTCATTCCAATTGCAAGCATTCGATCTGATTGATATACAATTACAAGAAATAATGGGACCACAATTAGAAGAGGTGGTTACTGAACATGGTAAGCCTCATTGCTGTTTATTGAAGCATTTTTTAATTATTTGTTTTTTAGTTCCTGATGCAAATAACTGTGATGACAGTGAAGTGGTCTTCAATAATGGGAAATGGAGCTCCTATACTCCCCAACAACTGAAGAGGCCCAAAACTACAAAGCTATCATGTACGAAAACGGTACAAAATAAAAGATATATTTCTGTTAACTATCTACTAATGGAAGAAAAGCTGAATTTTTTGAAACTACAAAAAGAAAAATTCATCGAAGAACACAATAAAAAAATGGAAATATATAAAAAAAGGTTCAGCTGTTAGATTTACAGATCAATGCATTGGATAAGTAGAAAACAAAGGATTTATTTTGTTAATTGCTGGAACATTTTCACTTTCACTAATTTTTTTGTGTATTTCGCATTTTTGAGGATAATATGTTAGTCTAATAATAAACTTTCTTCAGAAAATCATGTTTATTTTCATTCTGTAGTTACAATAAATAGGAGATAATTCATATGTCAAGTCGATGAGAGCTATGGCGAAAACTGTAGGTGTCCAAAAAGATCGACCGAGTGCCCATTTTGAGGCTTGGGACATCTATTTTGAAATGCCGTGTGCGCCTTTCTTGGGCAACAACAATTTTGGCCACGACTCATTCACTTGCCATGGATTATCACAGATTTTATACTAAACAACTTTCAACTAGTATCGAGTCATTCACTGAGCATCAGTGAATGTATTGAATCGATTTACAAATTTGCAAAATAATTATTAATAATGTAAGTTCATTGTTGATTGCATTTCTCGGCAACCTAATATTCTAATATTAACAGGATCTGTCTTCACATTATCGACATGAACCATGTTTATAGCATTTTCCTGTTCAGAACTTATAGGGGGCATAGCTTCATCATTAGGACAAGCAATATTATGTAGCACTGCTGTTCCTAGAGTAACTGCTTGAGCTGTATCTAGATGAACTCTGAGAAGCTGTATCTAGATGAACTCTGAGACCCATAGCTAGACATAGAAATCTTCTTTTCCAAACTCCATAGCTTCTCTCTATAGCATTGCGACTACGAATGATAGATTCATTGTATAATTCTTCAGCAGGAGATGTTGTTGTATTTAATGGTGTCATCAAATGGCGTTTAATAGTATAACCTTTGTCACCAGCCAACAAAGAGTTTCCAAAGTGACCTGATTCAAATTGTCTGCAGAGCTGAGAATTTCCGAAAATGTATGAATCTGCGTCAGAAACAGTTCAGTGAAAAAAACTGCTTTCGATTTCTGAAGAGGTCTGCATGGCTTCCTCCGGGAGAAACAATTTTTTATATGCGTGCAGTCAATTGCACCTATGCATCGAGGAAACCTAGCTATGTTATTTATAAAAGGATTGCTTTGCCCTGGCAAGAGCCTCAAGAGTGTCTGGCATTTTTATGTAATTACTTCTTTTACTCGTTAGTACTTTTAAGAATCTTCGGACTGTTTTGGATGCAGTTGATTTGGAAATCCCAGCAAAATGTCCAGCAACAGTTAAGAAACTTCCATTGCGCAGAGCTAACGACAGCTGCTGTTGGGGCGTTAAGCAGTTATTCCTGGAATGACAAAGTCATGTAAAAATATGGAAATAACTAATAATATATACATCTACCTGCTTGTAGGATATACTAAATCTTCATAGACTTCGTCCAGGAGAGTTTCTACGGTCCTTTTTTGTAAGACGAAATCTTGCAAGGAAATCGAGGTCATCAAATTCATCAAAGTAATTCGACCGATGGCGGATTATTTTTGCCTTCTCGCGTCTTCGTCACTGCTATATACGCATTCACGTCGTAATCCATAAACATATGTTTATAGCTTAAATTAGTGGATAGATTGATATGGACTTGTTGTGATTTTTTTAATAAACGTCAAAGTTTATGTCAAAAAACATCAGGTGTTGCTATTTAACTACAGCCTTTCTAGTTAACTCATAGATGGTCTTCTGGTTAAAGTTAACTTGCGTTTTACTATAAACATGATATTGAAAAACGATTTTTCATAAATAACTATAAGTTAAGACCAAGGTCGTAGTTAACCTGCGATTGGCCTTAGTGTAAAAATTACCTTGCTAGATTTAAGTCGTGAGACGTGCACCCTCCCACAAATATATCCTACCCCCGATCTTTAATTATCACTATCACAAGGGCATTTGCTCTCAGAAGCGCGGCTTAAGTGCTTAAGCAAGCGGCTGCAGTGCTCCCTCGCTCTTCAATTTGAGAAGATCATCGTCTCTACCTATACAGAATCCTAAATGAGTGACAGGAGTTTGCGTCATATAAAATTAAAAAACACTGTCAAATTCCGAATCTTTGGCGATTACAAAACTCTTCTCACCTGTCGGTGTAATTAATAGAACAGAGAAATATCATTTGGAGCTGGTGGGTGTTTTTGTTATTCAATTTTTTAAGCCTGTATAGAATTAATATTGTATGGAGATAAAATCGTATTATAAAAAAATGAATATATTATAATGCATCATTAATTACTTATAGAAATAACTGAAAGCTAATTAAGTGCCTATTGACGAGTAAGGAGTGTGTCCGACCATATAATGTGATAATGATTTACGTAGATATCAGTACAAAAGGAAAAACTGTTATAATAATAATGATGATCTTTCAACATCAGTTTCAAAAGGTAACGGTATAGTGTCAACAATTAGAGATGCTTCTCACCACAGAAACAAGTAACTTGATATATGACCAAAACAGGAATTCGGTGTGTATTCGTTGCATCTATTTTTTACACCAAAGCAGTCGCGCAGGCACAAGCCTTAATGCCAGGGTACCGCGGCTGCTATGAGGAGCTTGAAGAAACATTGTTAATCCGATTTTTGAACTGAACAGCATCGAGCATGGATATTGTAGTCGGCGCGGCAGCGCCCCAAACATGTGAGAAGTACTCGAAGCTAGGTAAAGGCGCACCTGCTCGAAAAACTTGCAGTGCACTATGTAACTTTATATTTAGCTAAAGCTACGCTATGGCTGTCTTCTCATTGGTCCTAACTATGTAGTTTAACTACTTCTATTTCTCTAGCAATTGGTTAAAATAAAATTAGCCAAAACTACTTGTGATCCTGCTGCGATGATGATTCAAACAGTTGTTGTTTGTTCTGTCAAAAAGTTAAACAACTTCTCAGCTTATTCCTTTTCCCTAGTAGTGTAGCCCATCTGCGGAATGAGAATTAACACCCGTTTTTCGTCAATACCCAAGTTTCCGCTATAAACATCCTGTCATTTTCATCTACAAGTCTCAGAAGTTTCTTCATTCTCCATGTTCCGCTTTGTGGCGTTTCTTTCAAGGAGTTTAGAAAAAGAGACAAAAAACATATTCAATTGACAAACTCACGCTATGTTCGTTTACCAAACAGGAACCAGATAAAAACTAATAATGAATGGATGAAAATACAAAAAAAAATACCATAACAACTAATCACAATAGATCTAACAGCTGATTTCACTGGACAACAAATTTTAGTTTTTTTAATGTATCTTGTGGGAAAAGTGCACTTCTTTGTTAATTTTGGGGCGCTGAATCCAAAAATGACAATGAAATAAAAACATTAGTTGCGGTTTAGAAAAAAACTTTTTATTTTTAAGGATATATTAAAAAAAGTAACAAGATTCATATACTTATCAGAATCACTATATGCGCTGTCTTTTTGCTGTTCTTTTATGTATCGTGTAATCTGCAAGCATGGAAGGATTCTACTTTCCCTGGTACCTTTTTTCCATTGTTGAAATATCCTGATGAAAACGTTCGCCGTGCTCATCACTTACGGCTCCGCAATTGTCAGGAAAAAAGTCCAGGTGTGAGTGTAGGAAATGTATCTTAAGAGACATATTACAGCCCATCTTTTGATACGATGACAGCATATTTTTGACAAGGGTTTTATAGTTGTCAGCTTTTCTATTTCCCAAGAAATTAGTGACCACCAGACGGAAATCATTCCAAGCAGTTTTTTCAATACCTGTTAAAGTGTTTTCAAACTGTGTATCTTTCAAAATAGTTCGAATCTGTGGCCCAACAAAAATACCTTCTTTGACCTTTGTCTCACTTAGTCTTGGAAATTCCTGACGCAGGTATTGAAAAGCTGACCCATCTGTATCTAATGCCTTGACAAAGTTTTTCATTAGGCCCAACTTGATATGCAGTGGTGGTAATAATTTTTTTTTCGAATCTACTAATGGCATATGCTGTACATTTTTTTGACCTGGCTCTAGGAATTGACGAACAGGCCAGTTTTGTCTGGTGTAATGAAGTGCCTTCGCCCGACTGTTCCATTCACACAAAAAACAGCAAAACTTTGTGTAGCCTAGCTGCAGCCCAAGTAAAAGTGCAACAAGTTTCAAATCGCCACAAATATGCCATTGGTGCTCATCGTATTTTATGCATGTCAATAGGTACTTCATATTGTCATATGATTCTTTCATGTGAACTGCATACCCTACAGGAAGAGATGGTAAAATATTTCCAATATGCAATTGCCTTAAAACTCAATGTTGAACTGTCCATAAACAATCTCCATTCTTCTGGGTTATAGTTTACATTTAAAGCCGCCAGTAAGCCGTTAATGTTACTGCAGAAAACCAAGTTATTCTACATATTGAAAAATGGTTCTAAGTCTTTGTGGCGTTTACGAAAAACACATACCGAAACATCGTCTTCTAACAAGTTCCACTGCTGCAGTCTTGATCCAAGTAACTCTGCCTTACATTTTGGAAGTTCTAAATCTCTTACAAGATCATTTAATTCTGACTGTGTTATTTTGTGCGGATGGTGGCATGACGTGCTCGGTATAAAATCAGGATCTCTTGACGTTGATTAGGCATATCTTCTTCCTGACGAACCACTCGATCGCCATGATCTGATTCGTTTTCTGATTCGCAAGTGTAGGATTCTGGGGGTTTTGGAATAGGATTTTCGTCACTGTGAGGCACAGGTCTCATCGCAGATGGTATGTTTGGGTAGTTAATAACCGATTTTTTTTTCTTGGACATACCTGTGGCTTGTCCAACACAAGGTACCATGCAAAAGTAACAATCATTAATATGATTTGTAGGCTCTCTCCAAACCATTGGGACAGCAAAGCGCATAGACCGGTTTTTGCCATTTAACCAGCTCCTCAGACTTGAAGCACATGTATTACAGCAGATGTGGGGTGCCCACTGTTTGTCTTGATCACCTAGTTTACAACCTAAATAAAGCTGATATGCCTTTGTTATTAGTGGAGTAATAGACCGTCTCTGAGACGCAAAAGTCACATCACCACACACGTAACAAAACTGATCTGGATTGTTTACACGCTTTCGAGACATCTTGCATGAACGCTGTCAGCCAACTGAGGAAAAAATGGCTAATATAAAACAATATATGTATAATGTACACGTATGTATAACGTAACACAATCATGCCGATTACATCATCTTTCCTTGCCGAATATAAAAATGTAGCACGTGCATTCTTGTGAATTACAGTATATTAACACTGTCACAGCAGGAACACATATAATTACCGTATCTCTAAACCTTGAACTAATATTGAAAAAATAAGTTTCATTCCGGTTTTAGCACATTAAAAATAGTAATATTTTGTTGATTTTATTTAGGATATTTTTTGGCTGTTGATCAGTGTTTTTAACCAGCTTCCTGAATGTTACAACACGTTTGCTTCTCCAGGCAGGGTCGATTGAGTTGTACAACCTCACTGCATTGAAAGTAAAATATTTTTGAAACAATGTGGCGTAGTGCAAAGGCATTGTCAGATTATTATTAGGCCGCAGATCTCTAAGATTAAGGATTCCTCTAGTTATCAATTTACTATGGAGATAAATAGGCTTTCTAGTACATATACTGAGTGACAACATCTACGTATGTTTATCCAATTTTGATAATTTTTGGCATATATGATGACACCAAGATTTTTTACTTGTTCCACAATAGGAACGAGCGCATTGTTGATAGTTAATGCAATCATGTCCCTTACTCTATTATACAGCTGCTTAGGACAAAAAAGTATTCTTATCAGGATTAATCTTCAACGTGTCTCTCTTACCAAAATCAGATACACTGGCAAGATCGTAATCTACTTTATACGAGGCATGTCTTTTAAGTTTTGCATATAGAAACATAGTAGGCCGCGCGGATCGAACGTCAGTACTGAATCTTAACCTCACTCTTTAGTAAACTTAAATTCAAAGTTCCACAACAATACGTGCAAGGTTTTCACTACAGTGAAATTGTATAGCACAGTGTTCAATACATGAATGTAAAACGAAAGAATACATCAAATACAGCAAAGGACCTGTTGTTGAAACACCTCGATCTTCACCTTTTGTTTACGATTAGTAAATATAAAAAAAAAACTTAAGAGGAATGCCAAAAAGTCCAATTTATTTTACCTTACACTTTGTGGCTTTTACTGGAAAGGATTTGCACTATTGGTGTCCCTTGCAATTTGAATCTCACTCCGTAGAAATCTGGAGCGGTTGGATGAGTGATGGCTAAATTATATAGCAGCAAGTAGAACGTAGAACATAAACCGGATATGTAGG